ACCTTTGGTCATTGAGTTCGCCACTCTGCTATTGCACCACGGGCTCGTTGCTTTGTTGCTTGAGATCGGGAATATGATGAATATATGGTCATCGCCGATCTGGTAGTGGAACAATTAAGTTCCGTTTCGCCCTGGAGCTCACAATTAGAGACTGCGCAGGCAGTCACATAGCGACTATGAGGATAAAATGGAATGGATTCGACAAAGCAAAGGGAGGCAGTTTGCCGAGTCCCATTCAGGATCGAACTGCTTGACCTGTTTACCACCTTACTAACCTGCACGGGCAGCGCGAAATGCTAACCAGCTTTAAATGCCTAAGAAAAGACTGTGGCTGAATTGACCTGCTTCAGCCATTCGTTTTAAAAGCATTTAATTAATTCTGCAATAAAACTAAACTCTGCCATGAGTTGCACTTGCGCTTTAGTGTTCAAAATACATGCTGCGTACTTTTCCTTTAAGAAAACGCCCAGTTTTTTTCAATATTATTGATAAAAATTCACACAAGACTCATAAACTACTGCATTGGATGTAGATAATGTGGTATACTTCATAAACAGCGTTATTATATACAGATACGATGGATAACTCACGGTCTTAAAAAATCTCGTAATTATAAACTTTTAGGTACCCAAAGATACCCCGTCTCCGGGTATGAATTTTGAGGAAAACATTATTTCTTACCAAATGAGTATAAGGGAAGAATATTTAAGTGTATATTTTCCATACAATTTAATTGAAAATACAAGGGCGTCGAACATCAATGTGAAGAATGTATACTACTTATATAGAACGTATAATTTATATGCCGAAAGATTCGGGGTCCAGGTATATTATCGCGTTCATCACCTCCCAAAGGTAAGAAAGAAGAAGGGGTGGGTTCATAGACCAAATTATATTTGAACTGACGTTTCGAAAACCCTGTCGCTTCCATTGTCAGAGTGTTCTGGTAGCTGCGTCTGGTGGTCAAGTCCACCTTTGGGAAATGATGAATGCGAGAATGTATAATATACAAATAGTCGTATTTCACATATTGTGCAGTTGTTGGTGGCCGGTAAGAAGTTCATTCAGAGGCCGGCAACTTGTCGTGACTGGAATATCTTGGGGAGATACCACACAGTACTCATTCCGATAATCTCACTTAAGTAACCCTTTCAAGCTGAAAAGACATTTCAAAATGTTGGCTTACATTTTATGGCATTATAGCATGCTTAGTCCGACGTGCGTGATATCTCGTCTACGTAACATCGTGGTGGGACGAACTGTAAACTTCATGTCGTATATTAGTCTTTACCACATGTATTTGATTGGTAATAAACAGTTTTTGAATTGCACCGAGACCTACCAGTGGCTTCACAGGTTAGAGTGACGTTGGAACCTGGTTTGCTCTTCACTACTAGATTTTCGTCAACGCCAGTCAGGCGGATTCTGATGCGACGGTGTACACCTCCT